TTTTTTTTTTTTTTAAGATTTTATTTATTTATTTGACAGAGAGAGACACAGTGAGAGAGGGAACACAAGCAGAGGGAGTGGGAGAGAGAAGAAGCAGGCTTCCCGCTGAGCAGGGAGCCCGATGCGGGGCTCGATCCCAGGACCCTGGGACCATGACCTGAGCGGAAGGCAGATGCTTAACGACTGAGCTCCCCAGGCGCCCCAAAAGGGTTCTTTTTTCAAGGACCTTTACTATCAACCTCTTCCCCGTGTTTAGGGCAGAGAGAAGGCAGTGAAGACAAAGCAAAGAGCTCACATTCTTTAAAGAAACACCCAACTGCTGAGGAGCCAGACTGTGTGTGGCTTCTCATCGCCTCCCCTGAGGCCGGAGGGACTTGGGGTGTGTGATCACTGGGATCCCTTTAGGAAGAATGTGCAAAGTTCATCTCTCAGCAGTATCCCACCCGCTTGCCTTGCAGGGGGGAGCAAGAGTCCAGGCAGGTGTACCCTCAAGCGTCCGGGAACAGAGATGGGGGGGCAGGCCCCACACACAGATGTGATTTGGGCTCACTCCCCACCCTGGACCCCCCCTCCCACAGACATCAGGAGGTGGCCAGCCTGAAGGTCAACCAGGACATTCAAAGCTGTGGGGCCAGCAGGGGACTTTGCACCGGGCATCCGGCAGTCAGGGATGCGGCTTTGGAAGACATTTCGACTCTTCTCTTCCAGCCCGTCCTGGATTTCCCAGGAGGGTGATGTAGGAGCTCCCCGAATGGGGATGGGAAGCCTGGCTGGGGTTCTCTGAGCCTCCCGGCGGGGGGCGAACCTCACCTGGGGTCTGAGGGCTGGCTGAGTCAGATCCCCAGAACGGCCTGTAGAACATGCAAAGGCTTGCGTGCCTCCCACATGTTGATTGAGATGGGAATCTGGCGCTGGGGATTATCCCAGTGCGTGGAAAATCAGTTGCACAAACCTCATTATAGCTAATAGTTCTGTAATGTTATTTTCCCCCTAATTTGGAGAGATACTTTTCTCCATCATTGATTTATTGAGATATTTAGCAGCATAATACAAATGAGAAAAGCAATCTGCAGTGGAGACAGAGTGGACGCTTCAACAGCTGACCGGCTTTTCTTACCCACTCAGGACCACGATGGAAATGTTAGTGTAGACAAATTGCCCAGTGAATTACAAGCGACATCTAAAATGCCAAGTGCACTAATTTTGGCAAGGAAAAATTAAGCAAAATAAAAATGAAAACATTTTCTTCTGTTAGCTCAGAAGGAAATTCTCTTGCTATGACTCTCCCTCCCCCAACATTTTTCACTGTAAACGGATCACTAAATAAATTGTTCTGTGTTGAGATTCTATATCAATATTTTTTTTTTAAAAAAATTTTTTTAATTCACACAATTCCTGGAGCTATGACAGAGCGCTTAAAATAAAATGTGGCCTTTAGGTGATGGCAGAGGAAGGGGAAATACTTTTTTTTCTTTGGTAGCAGGAAAGCATTACAGAAACATTAATGCAAAAGACACTCAGAGAACCCACTCCAGAAGAGTTCAGACCCACTCAGAACAGTCTGAGAATACCTCTCATGCTTAGTCCCTTAATTGCAATGGTTTAAGCAACATGCATTTTAAAAGAGTCTATATTTTTTTTAGTCTCTTTTACATCATAAAATTATCTACCCTTTTATTTTTTTTAAGATTTTATTTATTTGAGAGAGAGAGAGATGGGGGAGGGGTAGAGGGAGGGAGAGAGAGAATCTCAAGCAGACTCTGCACTGCACAGAGCCCGCCAAGGGGCTTGATCTCATGACCCTGACATTATGACCTGAGCCGAAATCAAGAGTCGGATGCTCAACTGACCAAGCCATCCAGGCGCCCCTTGTCAACCTTTTTAGAGGAAAAACACTGCACAATTCAGTCAACATTTAAAGCCCTTAGAATAGTGACTTGCTCATAGTAAGTGCTAAATAAAATGGTGGTGGTGGGTATTTACTAGAAGCCTGCTTGTGCTAGGCCCTGCAAAGGGCTATGGAGCTACATGGATAGATGGATGGATGGGGTAGATTATGGACAGATGGATAGAAGGAAGGAAGGGTAAGTGGGTGGATGGATGGGGAGATGGATAGATGGAAGGAAGGAAGGAAGGAAGGAAGGAGGGAAGGAAGGGGAGATGGATGGACAGGGAGATGGATGGATGACGGATGGATGGGGAGATGGATGGAAGGAAGGAAGGAAGGATGGAAGGAAGGAAGGAAAGGGAGATGGATGGATGGGGAGATGGGTGGATAGGGAGATGAAAGAAAGGAAGGGGAGATGGATGGGTGGATGGGGAGATGGATGGAAGGAAAGGAAGGAAGGAAGGAAGGGGAGATGGATGGATGGGGCGATGGGTGGATAGGGAGATGAAAGGAAGGAAAGGAGGGAGGGAGGGAGGGGAGATGGATGGATGGGAAGATGGATCACATCAATAGATATTTATTGAACTCTTGAAAACTTGAGGGCCCAGTGATGTGGACAGGTAAATGCGAAGGAGTGCTCAGAAAGTCCATTGGTGGAAACAAGCATCTCTTGCTGGAGTGCAGGAGTGAGGTCAAGAGGAGTCTGAAAGGGAGGAATGACCTCAATGATCTGCCTCCACCCCCTACCCTTAGACTATGAATTGCTCATCTGAACAGAAATCTCACCTGATTCCCCAATGGGTGGAACAGGGCCCGAGCAAAAAGTGAGCACTTCAGTATCTGTGGAATGAGTGTGTGGATGGATGGGAGGCAGTGGAGGGGAGAACAGGGCCACGGGGTCTCCCAAGGCACAGGGAGCGGCTTGTGCAGAGAAAATGCACTCTCTGTGCCCGTTATTCCCCGATCATTCTTGTGCAAAACTCTGAATGAACAGTTTAGACAGCAGTCATTCCGTGTGCAAACCTCAATCTGTTAGGGCCGGAGGGGGGAGACTTGAAGATACTGCTTGCCATTTTGACATTACTAGTGGTAATGGGTACCTTGGTGAGAAATGAGTGTAACCGTGACTGTTTAGAAATAAATAATCGTTGTGCTTTTTTTCTGCATGGCAGAGATTCGTACCTTTAAAATCTCATTCACATCCGCTCCTTCATTAACCTGTGGCTGTAAGGACTTAATCGGTGCAAACTCTAAATCCTATGCAAATACAGACTTATACACTAGCAATTTTCTTTCTGTGTACTGTTGGGCTAATCCACTTGAGTATATCTGGTGTTCCGAGGTGCGTGATAAGGTTGGTGCCAGATAACCCTCGGCTCCCCAGAAACCTGTCCGTGCGTGTGCATGCATATTCAAACATGCCTGTCCTCTCCCAATCTCCTGCTCTTTTTAAAAGATCACCTACCTGTGCCTGTAAAAGAAATTATAATTCATGATGGATCAGTACTTCAAATGAACATTTTGGGCACTGAGCCCACTTTTTGCCAAAGCACCTCCTTCGAGATTGGGCTTATGCATACTCGTGCCGTGCAGTGCTTCCTCTGTGTACAGCACTTATAAGCACTTTATAAATAGTACCTCGTTTAACCCCGAAACAGATCTACGATTTAGATGTCTCTGTCGCCGCCATCCTGCAGTTGAGGCCCAGAGAGGTTGGGTACGTTTCCTTGGCCCTGTTGGTGGACGCCTCAGAATCAGACCTATTGGCTTCTGTCTCTCTTCATCTCAACTTTCTGGCTTTAATTTCAACCTTATGAATGTTTTCCTACGTGTCAGGGTTTAGATAAATTCGATATATATGTTTATCGTGGCAAAAAATACACAAGATAAAATTCACCGTCGTGACCCCTTGTTAAGTGTGCAGTTCGGTGGCGTAAAGAACGTTCACGCTGTTGTAGAGACATCACCACCATCCATCTCCAGAACTTCTTCATCTTCTGAAACTGAGACTCTATCCCCATGAAACCATAACCCCCCCCCTCCCCCAGCCCCTGGCCCCACCACCCACTCTCTGTGTCTGTGATTTTGGTGAGTCCAGGGACCTCCTATAAATGGGATCCCACAGTGTTTGTCCTTTTGTGTCTGGCTTCTTCCACTGAGCACCGTGTCCTCAAGGTTCATCCATGTTGGGGCAGGAACCAGGGTTCCTTCCTTTTTAAGGCTGAATGCTATTCCACGGTGCGGATGGACCACATTTTGTTTACCCATTCATCTGTCAGTGGACACTTGAGCTGCTTCCCCCTTTTGACTATTGTGAATAATGCCGTGAACACGGGTGTGCAAGTATCCATTCAAAATTCAGTATGTAGTTGTCTAATTTACACTTGTATTTGGTAGCACCGGGGCATAGATGAAAAGGCAAACTGGGGTTCGGGCAGGTTGGATGCTGCAGCCACTTCAAAGGATGAGCAAAGTGGAGGGCAGCTCTTGGGGGGTCTGGTGTGTGAGGTTCGGGCAGAGTCCCCAGGGTGAGCAAGTGCAGACCCCGACCCCCCTCCGACGGGCCGGCAACATGTCTGCCCACAGCCATGTGGCCATGACGGCCTCGCCACACTGGCCGCTGGTGGGATTGTCATCTCCAGTTAGGATGGGGGGGGGCAGGTGCTCCAAAGAACCGAGAACCCTGGCTGGGGTGTATGGACGGCAAGAGACCCACGGACGGGCCAGGGAGGCGGGATCCCGGGGTTGGGAGGGGCGTGACCAGCCAGGAGGGAGCCAGAAACCCTCAACAGAAGAGTACATCAAGTCAGAAACCAGAGGGAGGCCTGGAGTCTGATGGGATCCGATGGGATCCGATGGGATCCGATGGCCAGGAGAACGTGCAGGAACATGCCACTGCGCAGCCTGCAGCCGCGGCAGAGTCTGTGCGCGAGGAGAGGGCTGGCCTCCCCCATGGCCCCCCGGCCCCCCGGCCCCATGCAGCGCCCCCCACCTCTGGTTCTCACGTCACATGCCCTCGGCGAGAGCAGCTGTGAGCCCACAGCAGGGCGGGCACCGCATCAGAGGCGGGAGAAAAGCAGCCCTAACCTCCGCTCTCGTGTCGTCTCTCCAGATGAAGGCCTCTGGGACATGTTTGTGAAGGACATCCCCCGCAGCGCCACATCCTACACCGTCAGCCTGGACAAGCTCAGGCAGGGAGTGACCTACGAGTTCCGGGTGGTGGCCGTGAACCAGGCGGGCTACGGGGAGCCCAGCAGCCCCTCCACGGCCGTGTCAGGTAGGGAGCCCTGCCCGGGAGGGGAGTCTCGGGGTGCAGCTCTTCCCTCGGAGGGAGGAGGGGATGACTTAGAGCTGGGGTGCAAAGAAAGGACAGCGCCGGGCTCCGTGTAGGCACCAGCAGGTGTGGGCCCAGCCTAGAGACACGGTGCGGGGGGAGCGGTGTGTGTGAGCCCGCACCACCACCACCAGGCCCCGACTGTCCTCACCACACTGCGCTTAAGCAATTCTTAATTTCTGTCTCATTTTTTCCTAATCAGAGACCCTTGCCAGAGTCAGGGCAGTCGGCTTGAGCTAAGCAGTGTGCCGTCCGGGGTGAAGGCAGCCCCCAGCCCAGTGCAGCCCCCAGCCCCTCCCGTCAGCCAAAGGCTCCTTACTGGGCAGCCTTGTGCAAAGCTTGCGACGCGAGGATCACCCCAGCAGCCACGGCGGGAAGGGGTGGGGTCTCTTAGCACCCAACCCAGGCTGTGTCTGATCCGGGCATCCTCCGGGATGGCTGAGGGGCCCACATGCGCCCTGGGCCAGTCGCCACCCTGTACATGAGCCCCCGGCTCCACTCTGGGTGGAAGAGGCAAGGTTTCTTTCCCGGAGCTCGTGAGGTGCTGATGACACACTAGCCGTCCTCACCAGCCCTGTGGCAAGGGGTGCAACAGATGGGGGGATATCAGGAAGGGCTTCTTGGAAGAGGGAGCATGCGTCTGGGTGGTGGAGGGTGCGTGGGGCGAGGCCACAGGGGAGGGAGCAGCAGAGACAAAGTCCTGGCAGTGGGTCAGCAGGAGGGAGGGGAGGGGAGGCCCGCTCAGCCCCGCCTGCACCTGGTATTACGGGGGTTGCTGGGAGGAAGCCCCTGTGGGGACCCCACCCAACAGGGTGGTCACACCGTCTGGGGCTCCGCCCTGGATCTGCCGGGCAGCTGGAGGGATTACAGGGAGCAGTGCAGAGCCGATTATGAAAGGGAGCTAGCAGCCCACTGCAGGGGTGGGGGCAGGCGGGGTGCAGGCCGGAGGTCAGGCGGGGTGCAGGC